AAGAATGAATATCAATTAGCATATTAGCGTAGCATTATGGAATGATCCTCTTCACATCAGAAAACTCTGGTATTGATTAAAATGTTTGCTTTTAAATTCATCCTTTGTCGGTCATAAGATCCATCAACGTCTCAAAGGAAAATTGAGTGGAAGGACGAAGCATGTTATTGAGGGCTTTGACTGTATTTTTACTTCACTTAGATGCAGGTTTGATTTTTCATCCTGAGCGAATGTCGGAGTTTGTTGGTCTAAGTTGATCTCTTTAACTCTGTGTTCTGCTGCAGGCGCGGCAGTGGCGGGCGTTTACCGCGTGGCGGGGAAGGACATGGCTCCGCTGGAGGCCCTGGTGTTCGGAGTGGGTCAGACCACCCTGTCAGTCGTTATCTCCTTCTCTCGCATCCTGGCCACCCTGTGAGGAAGACTTTTAGCGGGATGAAGGACGGATGCTGATGGAGGAGAGGTCCAGCAGGGACTTGGATGCAGGAGACGGCGCCCTCTACTGATTCTGGAGTATTAATGCAGCCGTCTGCGGTTGAGATGGAGGCGAATCGCTGAAGTTTGAATTTGAAAGCCTGAGATTCTAGAACTTCATCCGTTCCCGGAGCCATAATCCTGCCGCCGCCGCCGCGTCTCTGCTGCAGGAGGATCCATGTGGACCTGAGCGGCAGATGTTCACAGAAGGAAGAACCAACAGTCATCGCCGCCACGCTGGTGGAGCTTCACAGCTTCAGCCTCCAGCTCAGAGGAAGAAAGTTTGGAGTTCAGCACTTTGTGAGGAAGAGGAGCAGAAAACCAGCAAACATTTGATCAGATGCATGAAGATTCCTGATGTTCCAACAGGAGATCAGACGTCTGAGCTGCTTCTGGACTAAAAGCAGCTCGGTCGGCGTTGGAGGAGGAGCTTCCTCCAGGAAACGATCGTCTCTTTTCTCCAGCAGAGTTTAAGAATGACTGAAGCAAACCAGAGTCAGCACATAGATGTAGGAGAATAGACGCTGCACCGGCTTCACCCCTCTGTGGAACCGACGCATCAGAAGGTCGGCCATGTTGTGGGGTGCAGGTCTGCTCAGACGTCGGCTTTAAATGAACGGTAAAGATCTTCCAGTTATGGTCGAAAACCTTTGGGTTAAATCAAGGGCTGAAGTCGATCCCTTCAATCATAATAACACTGATGGTGTCATAATCGTTTTATTGTTTATTAATTAATGTCAGATCGGATTCCATTAAAGTTTCCCTGCAGTCTGCAAAAAATCAGAACAACAAACCCAACAAAAGCTGCGACGACTCGGTGGTTTAGATCTGAGATCGTTCAGAAATCCTTAAATTCAGGCTTTAGTGTCTGGCAGCGTCCTGC